GCGCAGTGGGGACAGCGCAGAGTCCAGGACCCTGCAGCTGCGCTGGGGCTCAGCAGCACTCTGAAGCCACCAGCCACGATGCTTTGGGGTCTCCTTTCCCTCCTCCTCTTTGCCATGGCCAGCGGGACGCCAATCGGGGGCCAGGATGAGGATATCCAAGTACAGGAGAATTTTGAGGCTGAGCAGGTAACGGTAGCTTGCAGTCCCTTAATTCTGGGGGTGATGGGGAAAGTTTTATTTTGTTTTCCTCCAGAAAGGAGAGAAATATTAACCATGCCCACATCAGGCTGTGTGGGTCAGGCATTGCCGGCGTGGCCCACCCAGGGTGCCGGTCAGGGGGTGCCACCCTGCTGGCACTGGCCTTTGGGATGGCCTCACCCCAGCAAACACCTCTGCAGGGTGGCTGGAGCCTGAGTGGCCCGGGCAGATGAAGAGGCGTGGGCAGGGCCCCCAGGCAGCCCCAGCGTGCAGGATTCGTGCAGGATGTCCTCTGCCAGGCCCTGCACAGCCCCACAGGTGTGCCTGGGTCCGGACTCCCCCAGGACACATGGGGAGATGCCAGCCTGATGTCTCCAGCCCTGCCTCACAGTCAGGGGACCCAGGAAAATCCTGCTTGGTGCTGATCCACTTCCCAAATCCCACAGCAGCTCTGGTCCCAGCACCCTGCACCATCGCCCCAAGTTGCTCTCTTGGCCAGGAATCTTTCAGCTCTGCAAAAACCAGGAGATGCCCCTCCTCAGAGGAGAGGGCTGATGGTGGAGACGTCTCTTTCTTCTCCCTGCAGATGTACGGGAAGTGGTACGACATCGCCATTGGCACAACTTGCAAATGGATGAAGAACTACAAGGAGAAGTTCAGCATGGGCACGCTGGTGCTGGGCCCTGGCCCCAGCACCGACCAGATCAGCACTGCCAGCACCAGGATGCGGTATGGGGCACTGGCACGGGTGCTCAAGCACCCAGGGGTGCTGTGTCTCCCAGGGGCTGGGACTAGGCATGGGGGTTGCTTGCACTGGTTGGGATCAGAGCCCTGAGGAGGGGCTGGATTGGGCTGAAATACCCAATGTCTTGGGTAGGGGGCTTTTGGGGGTCCTGTGCCATGGCCTCAGTGCCCCAGACAAGATTTTTATGCAATAACCAGGAAAAACAATCGCTCCGAGCAGCTGATTGTTTCCCTCCTCCCTCCAGGCAAGGTGACTGCACGCACGTCACAGGAGAGTACCAGAAAACCAGCACTCCCGGCAAATACACCTACTATAACCCCAGTAAGTTGGGCTTGCTGCCAACACGCTTGGCTCCGAGAGCTGCGGCGTGGCTGGGCAACGGGAACCAGCACCGGGCACAGCCAGCGGCTGGGGAAGGGGTTCAGGAGAGCAGGGCTCTGAAGCACTCCACAGTTTGGGTCATTTCCAGCCAAAGGATGGAGGGAAGCTGAGGGAAAGGGGCTGTTGCAGTGCTGTCCCTGCATAGGCACAGGACTATGAGATGTTCCAGCAGATGCCTCCTGTCCCCAAGGTCTCAAGCTGGGACAAGCTCCCACCACCCGTGTTTCAGGAGTGTTGTTGGTATCTTGGTTGTCTGCAGCCCTCGGTTTCTGATCCCCTTGACTAAGAAGAGGCTGGTGAGCCTAAGGGAAGCCAGGGTTCTATCAGAATCTGCTTCTCATAAAATTTTTTGAGCTATTTCAAGCTATTTTCTTGAATGAGCTGCCTGATTTCTGCCCCCAGCTCTGGGGCTGACAGTGCCCCATTTCTCCCTGAGGGGCAGGAACGATGTCCCCTATGTCTCTGTCCCCTACATCTCTGTCTCACACAGAATGGGACGTGTCCATCCAGTCCTATGTGCTCCACACCAACTATGACGAATACGCTGTCATTCTGATGAAGAAGAAAAGTAGTTTTGGCCCAACAACCACCCTGAAGCTGTACGGTACGTCTGTCTCCATCACTTGTGGGCAAGCAGGCTCTGGGGTGGGCCAGTGCAGCTCAGAAACACCACCCAAGTGTTCCTTGGCCTTGAGGGACCTGACCATGGCTTTGGGAGTGGTGCCGTGGACTAGCTCGTCTTTGGCACCGCAGAGGTTGAGTCTTACAGCTCAGCTTGGAGCCACATCACACAATGAACGGCCAAACCAGCCTGTTGTGTGGGATGCAGGTGCCAATGGAAGAAACCCAGGCCCTGAACTGGCAGGAGATGCTGTCTTTCACGATTGGGAGACAGTAAAACCACTTTGTCCAAGGCCTTGGTGGAGGCTGGTCAAGAATAACGGAGGAGAGGTTGGGTGGGACCAGGAGGCTGGTACTGGGCCTGCCTGCAGCTTCCTGAGCTGCAGTTGGGTCAGTGGTTGGGGGGCTGCATGTAGACCCCCTCCCATGCCAACCCCCCTCACAGCCTGTTCTCTTGCCCAGGGAGGAGCCCGGAGCTGCGGGAGGACCTCATTGAGGCTTTCCAGCAGCAGGCTCTGGAGCTGGGCATCCCTGCGGACTCCATCTTCATCCTGGCCAACAGAGGTAACCCACCGCAAGGCCCACTCCCCTCCTGCTGCCCGTCCCCCGGCACGCAGCACACTGGGGCTGCTCCTTCTTGGTGTGCAAAGCTGGGGAGAAGGGGGACGGTCAGGATGGAGGGGGGAGAGGCAGAGATTTTGGTAGGATGGGAAGGACACGAGGCCATGTATCAGTCAGGCTTCCACCAGCTTCCAGTCCGTGGGGTCCTTGCTGGGCTGTCAGGTCAATGGACCCACAGCGCTGTGCTGGGACAAGGGCACAGGACACCTGGGGACACTCCCAGCCGCTCCCCATGGCTGGGGGCTCCCAGTGCCCGAGGAGCTCTGCGCTCAGCCCAGGGGCCAGAAAGTGTCAGCATTGCGTGGGTGGGCGTGGGGATGGTGGGGTGATGCTCGTGTGGGTGGGAAGTAGAAAGCTGCAAGAGGGGAGGAATGCTGGGTGAAACTGGGAGGGTGTCCCCTTCGCCAGGGTCCTGCGTGTGCACGGTGCAGGACCAGGGAGGGGTGAGTTTGTCAGGACACGGCCTCTCTCATGCTTTGAGCAATCTGGGCTAGTGGGAGGTGTCCCTGCCCATGGCAGGGGGTGGCACTGGGTGGGCTTTAAGGTCCCTTCCAACCCAAGCCATCCTGGGATTCTGGGATTCTATGCTGCTGACCTCTCCTGTCTCTGGGCCAGGTGAATGCATCCCCCAGGTGACTGCAGCTGCCCCCGAGGTGAGTGGGACCTCCTGAGATGGATCAAGGCTGGGGACATCCCCTCCAAGCCAAACCTGCAGGAGTCCTGGGGTGTGGGGACCAGGCTCCGCTGCCTGCCCTGGGAGGTGCTCCTTCATCGCCACTGGTGGGCTTTGCCTGCGAGGACAGGGGCACAGAGGGGTGAGGGTCCCGTCCCAGGGGCCAGGTGGGCACCAGGGCTGGTTTCCCAGTGGAAAAGCCCTTTCCTACACTGATTTGTTCACGGGGTGAAATTGTTGCATGTGGACACCCAGCTCTGGGTGCCGCAGCCAAGCTGGGGACCCCCTTCCAGGGATAGGGAGGCAGCTCAACACCCCACTGATCCCCCGGCTACAGCCACCCAGCACCTCCCGATCTCACGGGATTGAGGCCAGAAGGATTTTCAAGAGGGAATGGGGCTTTCATAGGAGAAACAGCCCAGTTGACTTGAGAGCAGGTAACACATCTGGAGGACACACCACCTGCATCAGCGAGAGGAGGGACACGTCCCCAGCCCAAGGCACAGCTGGGGCACTCTGGGTGTCTTCATCCAAAATGCCCAATCCTGGCACCCACCCGGGATGAGTACAGGGCTGGGAAGACCATGAGGGGTGCTGGGATCCCAGCTTGTGTGATCAATGACTGGAGATGTGCTGGGAGCACCCAGGAGGGCGGGAGCCTGGACAGGCTGCAGCACCCACAGAGCTGCCCCCCACATCCCCCATCCCAGGGGCAGGAGGGGTCCGGCAGAGCTCAGCACCATGGCAGGGAGTGAGGGGACAGGCAGGGGATGTTGGGGGACCTCAGCACCATGGCAGGGAGCGATGGGACAGGCAGGGGGGTCCGGGGGAGCTCAGCACCATGGCAGGAAGTGATGGGACAGGCTGGGGGGGTCTGGGGGAGCTCAGCGCCATGTCAGAGAGCGATGGGGCAGCTAGCAGGTCCCACAGGGGGCAGCTGATGACAGC